CTCACTCTCCACTCTTGATCAACATTTCAAGGTCCCTACATTAATAAAGGTCAAAGTTAACCAAGAGTGGGAGGCCTTCGTGGGCTTCCCCAGGGGAGCAGCAAGGGGTTAAGACACAACCTATGAAGTTATCTGCAGCTACTGCACCACGAGTTCAATCCCTGGCTGGCCAGGGAGCCGCCCACATGGCACAGCAGACCTCCCCTGACTCGCCTGCTGCTCCCTTCAGCAGTGTATTTCACAATCGGCCTGTTCTGCTCTCCACTCTGTCTCTGGTGAATCCTCTCACCCCCACCCCCCCCCACCTTTGGCCTGTACTCCAGTTCTTGTATGCATAAATAATCTTTAACAACAAAATGAAGAGTGGGAGGCCTTTGAGACATTTCTGAACAAGGTTTGCCCTGCTAAGTATCTCTTCATACTGATTTGGAAAACGTTTCTTCTAACTTTCCTCATACAAGTACATTCAGGTTGAGCAAAATATAGATTCAAATAAATTTAATGTAATGTGCCAGTGCAAAAGGCTTTATATAAAATAATCAGTCTTCAGATATTTTCCTTCCTTCTATTTCCTCTCCAGCAAGCTTATCCTATAGTATGTAATGGGCCACAAGTATCAAGGAAAGAGGAGGGCACTGCCATGGGAAATCAGCCAGAATCCAACAGAATACTATTTTAAACCTATTTTAAGTTGTCGGTTGAAATGAAAAACCATGTTCCCTTGTCTACAAAGCTCTTATTTAGCTCTTTTCACTCAGTCATCAAAAATTTATTTTCCTGATCTTCACATTTTGCATCTTCCATTATAAAAATGTCTTCATTCTCCTCATCTAAAGTCTGATTTCAGATTGAAATTCAACAAAACTTCTGCAAGCCTAACTATGTGCTGAGCATTGCATAGTCAATTCACTCTATTATGTAGAGATTTATCATTTTACAGAAGAAGGAATGGGGCCCCACTAAGTTCAATGAATTTCCTGCTTTCACAGACCTCGCAAGTGGTATCTCTGGACTTGGCCTGCTATGTTTTTAGTGGGAACTCCAGGTAAAATATTTCCCTAGTATTTCTCTTTTTTTTTTTTTAAGATTTATCCATTCACACACACAAGAACCGGGGCACAGACCAGATGCGTGGAGGATGAGAGGATTCACCAGAGACAGAGCGGGAACAGAAAAGGCAGACCAGATGAAATACACTGCTGAAGGGAGCAACAGGCAAGACAGGAGAGGTCTGCTGTGCCATGTGGGATTCTCGAACCCGTGCTGCAGAGGCTGTGGACAGCTTCACAGCTGCGCTCAACCGCCTGTGCCACCAGGGGAGGGCCTCCCTAGTATTTCTTGGTTTTGGTTTTATCTTTTTGGAATCTTGCTCAAGATAACTTACATGATTTGGGGAGGGGTATTTGGTACTAATAATCTCATTTTGGAATCAAGAATTATAAGCAGTATCAGAAGGATAAATACAACTATTGTGCCCTGCAAACACACTGCCAACTCTTCCCTCTAGGTTCAAATAACCAGAAATCAATTCCTCCTGGTTAGTAAATTAATCCCAGAAATTCACAATTAACATTACGTCAAGTGTTACGCTTTTTTGCCATTTCTATCCTCTAACCACCACAATGATAGCTCAAAGGGTCAGAACACACATTAGTCAGGGAGATCAAGGCTTCTTCCACACCCCTCCCCACCACGTAGGCTGACAAGCAGGTACACCTGCCCCCAGCCAGCTGAGCAGGTGCTGGTGCTGCTAAACATTAAGAGGGCAAGAAAGAGAACTGAAGGTAAAGGAAGCAGAACATTCTACAGCTGACACTAATATTAAGCAAAATAATCATGCTGATATGACAACTGCTACTAAAAATTATGGCATCATTTCAGAATGTCAAGGTATAGCCATTCACAAAATAAAAACATTATATGAAAGTCTACCAAAAGCTAACACTAGCTCTATAACCAAAGGCAAGAAAATCCTCATTTAGTGTTCCCTTCCGGGAAGTCAAGCATGTCCTTTTTGCCCGTTTGCTTGCTCTTCTGTTATTCTGTACATCCTATCTCTCATGAACAGAAGAGGCACGCCTTAGCTTTTCTACAGAAATCTCCAGGCCAGAAATTTCACCACTGGTGACTTAAAAACGCTAAGCTGCTGTACAAAACATTACACTGAAATTCTAAGTAGCTAGTCAAAACTTCACAACTTTCCAGTGGTACCTTTTCAGTGGTGAAAATTCACTACCTTATTCCCCTAAAATATTCTATAGAAGATAGCAAAATCACCACCAAGACATCAAATGACTTCAGAAACTAATAAAGGTTCAAATCCAATTTGTGACACATGAGATGGACCTCAATCCCAAAAGGTTAAAAACAAGAGAACATTCCAGAGATATTTGCAAATTAGTTACTGCCCTTAACTGAACCACAGCTGGTTTATTGATGAAAAGAAAGAATAACAAAAGGATGTCTAAAGTGTTAAAAGGTCAGAGCAGTAAAGGGTGAATAAGAAATACGTTTGGCCCTTACAGTGCAATGATAAGTGAACTCAACTTACCATCCCAAAGACATAGCATAGGGTTACACTCCTTTGATCTACAGAGGAAATGCTTTACACTGTAAGAATAGCTGATCTTTTTACCCTGGTTATGGCTCATCAATTCAAAGGGTCTCTGTAACCTCTGTAAGCACTAAATTTCCTCTTTGGCATTGTAAAAGGCACAATAAACAGTTTTTGGTGTTGTGGTTTGTAGACATTCTTAGTATGATGTTTTAAATGAAAAAACATAGATCTTTATTAGAAGGCCCTTTGTAAAAGTCAGGTAAGGTTGCAGTACACAGCATCATTGGCTTGTTCAAAGGTAGGAAACAATTTCTCTTCCTCACCCTGGCAAGATCTGCAATATCTAAGTTTTTATTTAGTGAGTTCATTTAGATGCAGGTATGTCTGTTCCTACAAGTCATGAAGTTCCTTGGATCCAAGAAGTCCAAGGCTGTTTGAACTAAGTACTAATTAAGACTGGATATCAGAGTCTACTGAGCCACTAAATCAGAATTCAAGAAAATGGGGCTTTTATTTTCTCATTCCTCTCCCCATGCTGTGGAGGCACTGATTCCCTAAAAAGGCAAGATTCGTGCAAAAATAGGCCTGGAACAGACAGACCTAGGTCTGGTTAAGTCTAGCATGGTGACCCTGTGCAGGTTAACTTCTCCAGGGTCTTAGTTTTCTCCTTGCTGCATAGGAAATATTATCCACCAAAAAAAAAATGGTTGGTTTGCAGGTCATGAAAGTGTAAGTTCAAGAACCTAATCTCCCAACCATGCCAAGTATACAGAAGATGCTCAATGTTAGCTGCACGTGAAAGATGCATCTCCAGAAAGATTATTAACATGACTTTCCTTTGGCCTTCCCAGTTTATGTACTAAGGTCACATGCAGCACCCAACTTTAAGCTCCTTTAATGGAACTCTCTGACAGGTACTCAGACAACAAAATCTGGCTGGCTTCCCTTACTTCCCGCCTGCTGTGTGCATGCATGCTGCAGATGGTACCCTTCTCCTGGTCTCAGTCCTGCACAGGACTCCCTTCTCTGGAACATATCCTCGAGGCTCCTCGCCTCTGAACCCTACAGTACTCCCCAATTCTTTCCTTAAGTGGCAACAGCCGCTCCCCAGGAGGGTGAGCACTGCCTGGCTTGAGCTCCTGGATGTGGAGCTCAACAGCATTAGAAGCCATCTATGCTCTCTTACTCCAGCGGCACCAGCCGGCACTTTACTATCCCTTCACCCCGGCTGGGCAAGCAGGGCACGCGCATTCCGAACAGATACCAAAGCGACGTGCAGTGAGGGCAACCCATCACCTCCCACCCTCGACAGAGCAACGCCAGAGTCTGGCCAACCCCCCACCCTCCATGTCCCGCTAGGCCGAGGAAGCATACGGTAGGGGTTTGGTTATGGGGTGCAGGGGTGCCCTTTCAAGGGCTCGTTTACACAATCATCGCAGAGATCGAAGAAGCCAAGACCATTTAGCCCAGTGATGCTTCCAAATCTGTTGCGCTTTCTGTCATCCCCATAGCACTCAATTTATTGGCATTTTTCACCTGGTAGATTAGCCCTACTGAAAGTTCTGTAGCCCACAAAAACCTTGTGCGCCGCGGCCCGCCCAACTCTTGCCCCCGGGAGCCGCCTCCGGACCCCACACGTCTCTCCCGGGAGAAAATTCGCGGTTTCCCCAGAGCAGAATTGGGTTAGCGGGTCTTGGAAGTTTCCTAGCTTCCCCTCTTACCCACCCCCTCTCCGCCTCCGGAATCCCCTCTCAGATCACGCGCGAGAACAGAAGCCGAGAGGTCTCCCCCAAAAGCTGCGCTCATGCGGGGTCCCAGCCTCCTCTGCCCTCCTTCCACCCAACTCCCCACGCCTTCTGCGCTCCCAGCGCCCCAGGGTTCTTTAGCCCCAAAGAAAACTTCTTTCTGGGCTAAATTCAAGACCAAGCAGGAAAGGCTTTTCCTTCGCCTCCCTCCTATCCCCGCACTCAGAAACCTTAAGAAGCTGGCACCAGGTGCGCACTCACCCCCTACACCCCCAGAGAGCTCAAGTGATCAGCACTTTCCTCGTTAGGTCAGATTGGATCTGGAACCACCGCGGGGGCAGGCACACTCTGGCTTTTTCCACAGACCCTACCTGTCCCTCGTGGCTTGCAAAACCAAAACAAAACATAAGTAAAACACAAACCCCAGCAACTTTGGGGAGCGGTGTGTGCGTGTGCGTGTGCGTGTGTGTGTGTGCGCGCGCGCGCGCGTGTAAGAGACAGAGAGAGATACAGAGGGAGACAGAGATAGAGGCAGAGACTGAGAGAGACAGAGAGGGCAACAGCTGCCAGAGCACATCTGGAAGAGGGGGAGGGGGGAAACTGACGAGGAGGGGGACAAGAAACGCGAGGTGGTGGGGGGCGCCCCTCCTCCTCCTCCGGCAGCTTCAGGGCCAAGGGTCGAGTCGGCGTGTTGTTACCTGTCCTATATTGATGAATCCGTATTTGCTGGCGATGCGGTTGGCCTCCGGGAAGCCGCCGGTAATTTTGACTGCCCAGTGGTTGGTGTAGACGCGCGTCCGGCACACCGGGAGCAGGCAGCCCCCGAGCAGCGCCAGCAAGCACAGCAGATCCAGCCGTCCCGGGCAGCCACAGCGGTTCCCCCAGCCCATGGCCCCGGCGCTTTGCAGCCTCCCTCGCCTGTTCGCTGGCTCGGCGCACTCCGCGGCGCGCACAACTAACTTCTCCGGCCTGGGCAGCCCGGGCGCGCAGCCCCCCGCCGCGGCGGTTCGCAGTCCTGGGCTATGGGCAGCGGGAGGCGAGCTCCGGCCCCTAGACCATCCCTGGGGCTGCGGGGACTTGTGTTCCTGCTCTCTCGGCCCGTGGGGCGGTCGGCGGGCGCTCCCCGGCTCGGGTTCCAGGCGCGGCGGAGTGGGGCGGGCGCCCTCCCCCAGTCGGGGCTTGCCAGTCTCGGCTGTCGGACTCACCGACTCGCCCTCTCGGCTCTCCGAGCCCCCGAGCGCGGCGGAGGCGCGGGTGCAAGCAGCGGCCGGGCGCCCCCTCTGCTGGCCCGGACTCCAAGCGCTCGCTCGCTAGTTCCCAGCGCTCCCTCCGGCTCCGAGCCGCGCGAGAGGCGTGTGAGTGGCAATGGCAGCAGCGCCTGCTCTGCATAAATGACTCCCCCCGCCCCCCTTAACAACCCTCCTTTTCCCAATTCTCCCTCCTCCCTCCCACCTCCGCCCTCCCGAAAACTGCTGCTGCCTGGCGTCCAGCAGGCCCTAGCGCCGCCGGGTTCTCCAGGCTGTAACCTCAGGGTCTCGGGCTCCAAAAGCGAATCTTTCCAAAGGCCTGAAAAAGCGCCCACGTTGTGGTTTTCCTTATTTCCTCCTCCTCTTCTCCCCTGTGTCTTTATTAAGTTGCCGTCACTTGCCAAAGACTAAAGAGATTTGCTCGCTAGTGCGAGTCAAGCGCCCCAAGATTCATTCATCCTCGCGCCGAACCTCCTTAAACTACTAAGTATTTAAGGAGGTCACTCGCGTGTCATTGCCAAACAAATAATCCGAGATTTTCACTTCGTTAATGCTTCTTGCTTTCCTCGACTGTTTATTTTACACTTTCTGCTGCCGGGAGAAACTGCCACACAAGACGGTAAGGCGCATCGACTCTTGCAAAAGCCGAGCACCGCGGCTCCCAAGCCAAATCTGCCGCCTGACCACTTTCGAAATCTGTGCATCGGGTTTTAGGCTGTGCTACCAGCGAGTAGAAGTCCAGCTGTGGGGCTGAGGAAGGATGTTTCTGCGAATATTTGATATAAAGGTGGATGAGGATATTGAGCCAAGTGGAACTCCATTCATGTGTAGCATCCAGTCTAATGAGGTCTTCTTTTTTTTTCCACCAGGGGGAAAAAAAAATGGTAACTTTTCAGAAGCAAGGCCCTATAACACCGAGGGACTTCAATATAAAAAGGACCACAGAGGAAGTTGAGATGAAACTTGTGGCTGTGCCGCCTTCATTACTGATTGGTGCACTGTGACTGCAGCAGGCTGACGGTGAAATTAACCCTCTTTTCCTGGACAACCTCCCTGCCTTTTTGGGAACACTGTGTTTTCTTGTGAAAAGAATATTAACCTCAATGAAATGATTCAAGTCATCTTAAAAGTACTCCCTCTAATCCTAACTCCTTCCCACATTTCTGCTCTTCTTTGCCCATCCCTCCTTCTTTTTAAGCATGGATGAAATGTTTTTGAAATCGACAAGTTCACCACATCTATATCTTTGGGCCAGGACATCTTTCTTCAACCAAAGCTCCACTTTTTCAGTTTTTTACCCCATGCCTGGAATCAGATCTGCAAATTCAGAATTCATAAAGTTCATTAAACTGGTAAGGATTAATTCATAGCTCATAAAAATTAGCATTTTAAAATACTTCACACATTATAGAAGGTTTGCTATGTTATATAATCTTCAAAACAAACGCATTAAGCAACATCCCCACATTACTGAAGTAATAGATCACAAAAATGAAATCACTTGCAGAAGGGAATGTATTTCACTCATTTATTCGATTGGTTACATCTCTTTTGAGCACCTAGAATGTGTCAGGCATTATTATGCTTGGCACTGGAGACAGTTGAGGAGCTGGAGGAACTGGAGCACAAAGGACTGGTGGACTTCAGACTCTGAATAACTGCAGAGTAAAAGTTATTTATAGGTGGACAAGTGTAAATACTAAGTGTGGGTTTTGGCAGTCTAGTTGCAGGCCAGGCAGTCTGTACACATCTCTTCCTCCCTCCCCAACCTGATTTCAGAATGTTTATAGTCTATTTTATCACTGTTTTTTTTTTTTGTTTGTTTTTGTTTTTTTTTTTAATAGAGGCATGCTTTATTTATTTATTTTACTTGTTTGTTTGTTTGTTTATACATGCACTGGGTACAGTCAGAAGTGCGGGAGGGTGAGAGAATTCACCAGAGCCAGAGCGGGGTGCAGAGCAGGCAGAAGGACCGAAGTACACTGCTGAGGGGAGCAGCAGGCGGCAGGAGAGGTCTGCACGCCATGTGGGACCCTCCTCCGGTGGCCGGGGAGCAGCCGGGGATCGAACCGGCGCCGCAGAGGTCACGGGCAGCTTCGCAACCCAGCGCTCAACCGCTGCGCCACCGGGGAGGCCCTATTTGATCACTGTTAATTGCTACCCAGACCACCTGCAACTCTCCATGGGGACATTGGATTATTCCTTTAAAATCTGATGGGTTTCAGATGGCATTGGAAGACTCCAATCAAGATTCAAATCTCCATACACTTCCAGAGGATACTCACTCTTTCTTGCCTCCAGACTTATGGGTTTTTCTGAGAGGTGTGAGGGAGAGACTGTTTTGAGAATGATCAGCATACAGGAGGATGACCCCTGTGAGGACTACACAGGGACTTCACACATCGAATTTGAAGCATGGCATGGGTTTCCCTGGGATTTTGGGGCCATTATTGTTTGGGACTGCAAAGACAACATAAAACAGTTCTCTTTGAAAGCCATGTTGCCTGTGGACTTCAAAATCTAAATGAAATGAAGAGGAATCACAGTACCAGGCCCCCTAGACTTGGGGGTTGTTTCCAAGAAAGTGACAAAATTGCTCATTGATATTTTTTCTTCTTTCCATTAACACTCTTGCTTTCTGTTAGCGCGCCCTGCTTGGCACAAACACACAGCATTCATTGCACTGAATATGAAACAGAATTGGAAAATGAGGTAGGAAATGGGCAAACCACTCTTCAACTTTGTAAACCAGTTCATATGCCAGTGTTTAGCTTACTCAAAGGGTAGATTCTTCCATTGTATATGTATTTAAAAGGGAAAAACCTGTTTAAAACAATAAAAAAGATATTTGGAACCCCACTCCTCTGTCAAATCAAACCTAGTAATGTAGATTCATCCCCCTTATTGTCTATCACTTTTGCAATTATTATCCGCTACAACTATGTCTGCATTCTCAAAGACTGTGATTCCTATACTTAAATGATACCAAAAAAACCTCCCTCCCATTGATTCACATCACATCCTGCTTCCTGTTTGGGATCTACCTAAATGAACTCATTAGCTTCCTTGATTAGAGCCAGTTGGCCAAAATGGTACTTCCAGATAAGGATCAACAGCTGCAGTAAAAACAACTTCTTTCTAGACCTTAAGTTCTGTAGGTGATCTCAGCACTATTATGGATTCTTCAGTAACCAAAGGGAGACAAGGAACAGATAGAACAGTCGCCATTCGTGCAAAACCACTCCTAACATTGGGAAAGAAGCTGAAATCCAAGTGTTGCGTAAATGCTTCCTTTTTGTATGTGAAGAGTAGAGCTGCTGGACTTGACCTCCCTCCATAACTTTCCATGAGGCGGGAAACCGGCAGTTTTAAGTTTTACTCTGCCTTATACTTAGCAACATATTACTTGATAATGAGGCCGCACTAGCACTGGGCCTCTCTGTCAAGGTCCCTCACAGCTCTAAAATAAGACCTTGATAAGATGCAATGAACAGAAATCTAGGCAGTTTAGTAGAAGTGAACAAGAGTTCTGTAAGGACCCATTTTGAAACTCTGCAAAAGAGTTTGCTTTATGAAATAACTCATTTCTTCCTTTGCTACATCCTTTGCTGGCAGTTGACTTTTAACATCTCTTCTAATTTGAAATTCTGTAAATCAATGATTAATTGGTAACTGACAGTTTGGAGGGGACCAAGCAGGAAAAACAGCACTAGAAATTTCACTGCCCAGTAGGAGTGGGCAGTGAATCTCCATAAACTTGGAGATTCTAATCAGTTTTCCAGTGTATCAAATTCAGGTTCAGTAGTGGAAATTTGTCAAATTTAATAATCGTAGTAATAATAAATGGTGGCAATAACTACCATTTACTAAGCACTAGTTACAAAACAGCATCAAGCCAAACACATTTCAGACCTTATTCTCTTCAAGGAACATCAAAACTGAAAGAGATCATAGAAAACAGAACCTAACTTCTTTATTTCATGGGTAAGAAAACTAATTTGGAAGACAATAATTCTATTGTGGAAAAATAAGCTAACAAGTGGATGAATAATATAAATAAAATAATGAAAGCATACATGGACCAAAGATGATAGTGTACTAGGACACAAGGAGTAAAATTAATGTAATTTACATATCTAGGTTAATAAAATAAACTTAATCCAGAAAATGGAAACTTGAGTTAATATTTCAGTTTCCTTAGTTGTCTCACCACCACCCTTTAAAATATGATCCACGACACACATGATCCTGGGACAAGAGCTAATTAGGGGTTTTATATATTTATTGTACTATATTTATATGCGACCTCACAGGTGATTAACATCCTGCAGATTTCAGAAGCTTTAGCTTCTTATTTGACCTGTTTGAAATACACATAGAATGACATAGTTGATTAACTTCTGTGCACATTTTAATACTATAATGACAAGTGTTGGTTTGCAGAAAGCTTTCTAGTTGGAAGTAAAGTATGAAGATTTGAAGTGAGTTCCTTCAGATACATGTGAAGAAGGTGACCTTGATCATCACTCTCTACTGTCTATCTCTAATTCCAGAGCAGTAGCCCCTCAGGATGGATGTGATATCGCCCTCCTTAATTCAGACTGTAATTCAGGCAAACACAGGCAGAGAAAGGGTGTGAGAAATCAAAGCAACAGGCCTAATGTTGGAGCTTTGTCTACCAAAAGGAATAAACCTTTTTGTCAGTGGTCGCTGACCTCCCTCAGGAGTCAATACTTTTCTTTTTGAAGTGTCTCTGTACTTTTTTTTTTTTTTCCTCACCATATTGGCTTTCTTTTTTAAAGCTTTTTAAATTTTTAAAAGATTTTTAAAGTAATATTTTAAAATTGTGATTAGGGGGGCTCCCGGGTGGCGCAAGGGGTTAAAAAGCAACATGTGGAGCTGTCCACAGCCTCTGCAGCAATCCCAGGGCAGGCCAGGAAGAAACCCACATGGCCCTTCAGACCTCTCCTGACTTGCCCGGCTGCTCCCCTCAGCTGTGTACTTCAGTTGATCTGCCTGTTCTGTTCCCTGGTCTGTCTCTGGTGAATCCTCTCACCCACCCACCCCCACACCTCTGGCCTGTACCTCAGCTCTTATATACATAAATACATA